CCCTCCACCCTCCATTGTGGAGCATGCACTAGCTTGTTTGTGGAGCAAGCACTTGGCCATGGTAGGATTACAAATGCGGATAAAATTAATCAATCAATCGATCATTTGACCAAATCCGAATCCGAATCCGAATCCGAGGCCGAGGCCGAGCGACGACGACGACGGCGCGAGGCTTGCTTTCTTCTTAACTCTTTAAGAGCTACAAGAAGAGCAATTATATATATACCCACCAAAAATCTTTTTCTCTTCCAATATGGGATAATGTCTCATTGTCAAGAGGGGGAAACTTAAAATTTTACTTAAAAATTTTATTTTTCCCTCCATTTCCCATTCACCCTCATTTTAAGACTATTTTATCTTAAATAACAAAAACCTCAACAAGAACTTATTGAGCTAGGCTTCTTCCGAAATGAATCTGGCCAACTGGTGGTCAGTCTCACAGGCGTACCACCCTTTAAATCACCTTACGAGCTTGAATCATTATTAACAGAATGAGGTAGAAGATCCAACGGTGAGCATGTTCATGTCAAACAAATAACACTGAAAAGACTTAATTCAAACACACAAGCAATATTGCTAAACAAATTGAAGATTAAAGCCACCTTTAACAGCCAAACATGCTAATCTTAAGTAATCAAGCACAAATCTATATATCTATATAATTGAGGGAATAGTATAGCTGATGTGGCACCTTCCACAGAAAAGGATTGATATATTTCTTTTTCCCTGTTTATTTACGTTTTCCCCTATTTTCTCCTATTTATGTTCTTTTATGAGAAAAGAAAAAACTCAAACGTCGCGTTCTTCTCTTCAATCCTTTTTGTAACTGAAATTGCTTGCAAGGCCTTTGCTATTCAACTCTCTCGCTCCTGTCGCAGATGCCTTTCGCCCTTCTATACAACGCCCTTTCAGAGCCTTCTCCTCTATTCTAAATTACCACGAATAGTTGATTTTTTTTTATTAGTTGAAGATTTCAGCCTCATAGGGCGAATCGTTTGCGGCAGGATAATGGAAGATTTGGTTATCAAAATTCAAAGGCGGATTAGGGTGATTTCAGATTGAATACATTCCTACGACCTACGACAACAGGTAAATGTTTACCGTCCTTCTGTTCTTCACTTCTTGTGTTTATTTTGAGTTTTAATTTCCAATTTTGTCTTCGGCTCTTTGATAGAAATTAGTCAATGTATGTAAAACATCAACAGCTTACTTCAATTGGGTTCGGAAAGATGGTGCGGTGGAAGATCCAATCTTACTTCTGATGTCTATATGCCCAGGTGAGTATAAAATTACAAATTATGGATACCAATTATAGAGTTTGATCTATTTCCTGTAAGGTATTTTAAGTTGATTTTGATAGTAGTAGTAGTAGTAGGGACATATATGGGACTAAGGAGGAGCAAAATCAAAGTCAATGAGTTCCCACAAATGGGGTCTAGGAGGACTAAAGAGGAGAAAATGAGAAATTTGTTCGATTGATGCAGTAAAGTGCTTCGGCATTGGGCTTTACTTTTCTTTTTGTGCAATTCTTTTTTCTGCCTTTAACTAGAAGCTCCAGTTCATTTCGGTAGTTTGTATCTTATCAATGTGCATTCATTTGAGGCTTTGCTTGGAACTATGAATATGAAATTTGCACACGGTGGTGTAGTCTTAATTTTGACTCCCTGTGGTGTGAGTAGAAGAAATAGTTTACATAAAATTTTATAAATTGGTGAGAGAAGAAGAGAATGATATTTAAGAAAATTATATAAGGCATGAGAAAGGCTACGAGGGTAATATTCAAGAAAGCTATAGAAGGCATGAGAAAGGCTTTCACTTTGACGCGCAAATAAATAATGAGTTTATATGGAAAAAGAAAGGTATCACGGGTTCTTTATGTTTATCAAGCTTCAAATGCTAGATCTTTAATAACCATAAATACACATCTTGATCTTTCATACTGCTTTCATACTATTGATGCAGCATTATCAAAGATAAAGCTATATTCCGTATATGCATAAATATCTTTTGCCCAAGAGCATACTGAAAAAAGAAAACGTGATTGACAAATTCAAATTTTCTTTCTATTATTTTACAAGTTCTCAATATAATGAGTGGTCCATCAGTTTTAACTGTCTTTGGACTTTAGTGGAGTAATGTTATATTTTTTTGTCTCTTTTTTGTGTAGAACAGTTGA